TACTACAAGCACTTTCACTCGAGTAAAACGACTTAGATGCAGACGTGAGAGCAAAGAGAGAAGATTCTGGACCAGACCAGGTCGACATTTTTCTTCTCTCTCGATCACAACAAACGCACGTGGTGACTTTACAACATGGACGCTAACACTTGATAACAAGGCGCTGAAGCAGATTGTAGGCTCAAACATCGTTTAATGCGTTTACGAGCGTTTTCGTGTGGACGGGTGAAAACGCTACGTAAACGATGATCGTTTTTGTGTGGACGGAGATAAAAATATGCGTTTACTAGCATTTGCGTTTACAATCGTCTTCGTGTGGATGGGGCCTGAGACTCTTCTACGTGGGAAAGCGAAACTTAATAACGCTTTTATAAGGATTATGGATATTATCTAGCGCGTAAGTATTTTTATTAGATCTCTTTCATTAAGGATATTTTGAAATAATATGACAATATTGAAGGTTAAAATGGATTTTCAGGTTTCAAGACTTCTGTTAAGTTTGATCTGTAATCAGTCTTTGGTTAGGAATTATGGCAATTGATCTCCATCGATAAAAGAAAGATACTTGTAAAAACTCTGTTGAAATAATTTGTTAAACTAAAATTTATTTGAATGTCTGACATCAACACTTGGGAGCTTTGTGTAGCATAATATTTTGAGACTTATCTGTTGGACAGATGCACTTTGTTTATGTGGCAAATCTGAGCAATTTGATGTTGATAGGATAAAATTTGAAATTGAGCAAAGTGTAACCCTAGCAACTGGAAATCTGGAGTGTTTATGAGGGGAATTACATGTAGGCCAGGGTGGATTTGTTATAATTGCTGACTGTGACCTTTATGCCAAATACAGAAAGATGTTTCTCCTTTTGTCATGAATGTCGAACAAAGGAAGAAAATTCTCCTTAAATTAATTTATTTACTTTAAGTCAACTCTCAACATTGCTGATCTTAGCAGTTTGCAGAATATTTGTCACCTGTAAAGCCCCTAAGCTTACTTTCAATTTCTCCTGGATGACCTAGGTTTCTCTTTGTTCCACCGTGGACAAAAATAATGAAAAACTTTTCCTTATAAGAAATCAGTATCTCAATACAAATCTGGGTCCACTGTTTGATGAGAAGACATTGATACTGTTAAAAGATGAAGAGTATTGTTCCCAGCAAGATTGTTGAAATCAAATCAGCTCCATTTTGACCATACTAGGTTAATAGAAATCCATAGAAGTGGGAGAATTATCTTGTATTATTTTGATGACTGAGGACTTCAATAGGAGAAGTGCTCGTTAACTGTCGCAATTTGCTGTTAGGCCTTGTATTATTCTGCTACATTTAATTTAAATGCTGGTTTATGAGTGTTTTATGGTATTATTATGGTATATTTTTACAGAATCTGGGATAGAACTTCAGGGATTTGAAGACAAGGAAAAGTCTGAACAGCAACACCACCATGATGATAAGCAGTGAGTTCTGTTGTATGGATAAAAATATAAATGCAATGTGTTACTCATTACCACCAAGGGCAGAGTATCAACTATTGTGAACTACTGACTAATTAACAACTATTCACCTCAGTGTCGGTGGTTAGCAGTGGATATTTACCTCGCTGCTTCGCGGCTCGGTAAATATCCACCACTAACCACCTCCACTTCGGTGAATAGTTGTTTTAGAATATACTAAAACAGTGAGATAATATACACCACCATCGTTAATTTGAGTGATTTCTTTCCTTGTCACGGATGCAAACCGTGGCGCCATTTTTTCCTGAGTTGCTCGGAGGTAAATAGCAAAGGATATTCAGAGTTTGACTAGCCAATCAGAATGCGCCTTCAACGCTATCCACTGTTTTAGTATATACTAATAAATAATATTCTTACCACCATTTGATGGCATCTGTGATCTATTACAGAACAGTCCTGTGGCAATACAGAATCAGCATCTGGGTTATGTCCACTGATGTGTGTTCCCTTGGTGAATTTGCTTTATATAAGGGAACCTTTGTGTTCCTTTGTTCACTTGAGTTATTAACAGATTGATTGATCTTTATTCAGATTGGATGCATCCTACCAAATTCCTGCACTTTCAAAGTCCAGAGTGTTCTTTTTGAACATCTCTTGGTTTGGCATGAATGTAATGTATCTTATTCTCTCTGTTGAGGGTAAGTGTTTGATTCAACCAGTCAGTTGTAAAGGAAGCATTAAATTGTTAATGTATTTTTGAAAAGAGGCTTGAAAATTCCTCTTGATTTGTGATAAAGACCACAGGTTCAGCAAAATTTCATTACAAATTTGTTAAATGTGTACTAGCAAATTGCCAGTGATTTTGGTGAAATGCTTGGGGGAATTACAAAGGGTTTACAAGCAAAAAACAAAGGACCTCAAAGTCTGTTTGAGTAAACTTCGCTGTATTTGTAAGCGCTGTTAATTTCGCATTATACTTCTACTTCTTAGCACTTATATGGTGTAAATTTCATACAACATTATTCATATCGGCAGAAATCACTCAGTGAAAATCACTCGGCAAATACTTGACTCTGGTTTTGCTGTTCGCAAACTGATCATAATCTTCGTGACATCAGCATGTTTTATTTCGTTTAACGTTCCATTATTGAGACACTACCCCTAACTTCTGAGTCCCTTTCCCTTTTCGCGGTGTACTACTACATATTAGATTTCATTTGATGTAAGTGCCACACGAGAGACTACACTTAACGTTTAAGTTAAATCGCCAACGGTGGCGATGTGACTTCGAGTGGTGGCGAGTTTGTTGTGGTGGAGAAGTGACCGTAAACCTTCAAAAACAATCATGCACTTATTTTTCCCTTTCCAATTGACAGGCGTCAGATCGTGACAGATACTTTTAATGAAAAATGTTTAAAAATTTACTTGGAAGCCTTGTAAGTCACCTTTACCGTTATGTTAATAAAAATGTTTCGGTAAAGCCTTTCTATTTAATTTTGATAACATCTGTTTTCTTTAACCTATCTACTCGCGGAGAAAAAAATATAACTTTATGGAGGATAGTTTCATAATCAAACTCGTAATTGTAGCCCTAAATCTTTTTGGGTTCTTTCGGCAAGCATATTGTTAAGTGTTATAAAAAAACAAAAATGTTATTTACCAGCCAAGGTCGGTCCGTATTGGGAAAAAACTGTGCTCTCTGTCTTGAGTACCACACTCGGCGTACGGCGGTATCCAAGACCTCGGGCACAGTTTTTCCTAATACGGACCTCCCGGTTGGTGAATAACATGTCTGCATTTTATTAGCGACTGGGGAGCAGAAGCAAATATACCGTGGAAAAAGAAAGATAAAATTTATTCCTTTTTAGCTGACAGGTGCCTTTGCATATATTTCCTTGTATTTTTTACGCCGTTATTTTCGTTGTGAA